TCGATTGTGAAGCGTTTCTTCCTGACCTTTCTGGGCCTTCTGTGGCCCGGTTCTTTTGTATCTAGGAAATAAATCCTTATCCTGTGCTCCCTGTTGATATCTTAAATCATAGCTTTTGGTCAATTGTTTCATACTTTGTGTGATATTTCAGTAAGAAATATAGTGCTGGCAGTACTAGGTCTGTTTCTCTCTTTAAATCATTTTAGCTGTATCTGATGCTGTCTCAGCTTTATTCTTTCACACATCTGCTAAACCTTTGAGGGAATTGTTAGTTACATTAACTTAAAAATAATCCTATTGATACAACACATTTTTACATCTTTCCTTCTTTCATGTGTTGTGATTTTCAGCCAAAACACAGAGCTATGATTTGTGTTATGAGTTTATGTTTGATGAATTTCCATGCTCATGATAATCTCCAAATGGTACTCTCATGGTTGGCAGGAAGAAAATGATCATAATATTCGGAAAATCAAGGGTGCTGATGAACAAGGGAAGACTTATGAAAAGACAAAGAGCTCTTCCTTCTCTTAAGATACACCTTGACCTAAATAAGTGTAAAGAAAAGTAAGGAATTATCATTTATCACTTAACATTGAGCAAATATAATATGCAAATGAGTCATGCCATGAAATTCTATTTGTGCCCAGCAAACCAGTTCTGAAATGCTGGTCCATACCCGCTAGCAACTTGCCTGCTACTGGGCAAGTTCGTTCATCTGTCTCAAGTTGAGTTTTCCCATCACTAAGTGTAGGTAATAATGAAAACTGCTCACAGGGATTCAGGGAGAATAAACATGATATGTTTTAATTACTACTATTGCATGCATGGCATGTGCTAGGTATTCAACAAAAGTTAATTGTTTTAATATGTAAAACAATTTCAGTCTATTATAACATGCTTAAACAACTCCAGTGTGTGTAGTTATAATGTCATATAATTATAACTTACTTCTAATATTTAATTTGACATTACACAGTAAGTTGGGATTTGCAAGACTTGATCTAACAAGTATTGTTATGGTTACTATTATCAAAACAATATCCAACAAATATTGTTATGGTTACTATGAACAAACAGGTTAAAAATGAAATGTAAGTATGCCAAACATAATCAATATAAAACATATAACATCTATATATTAATGTAAGATATTAATATAAAATAATTTAAAATGTAATAAAATATAAAATGTCATTTCTATTATATTATTAAAAGATAGAATATTTTTTTTCTTGAAACTATGTTGATGCTAATAATCATGGTGACAATAATTTCTATTTTATGAATGTCCATGTTAGATTTGGCACTGGGCTCGGGTATATACAAATATCATGTATCACATGCAGTCTTTCAGATATCACCGTCAGCCAGGTGTGAACATCCTTATTTCATTTGGACACACTGACCTGGAGGGGTGGGACAGGCGGGCGAGGCCCCAGGACACACCACAGGGTCAGAGCCTCTCTGACCTGCCATGCTACCCCGTCCACCTGCTCTCTGCAGCCACGGGTGTGCAGGGATGACATGCCGCCTGGGGAAGGGCAGTGAGAACCAGAGGACCCCACGTGCTCCTGTGGTTTTCGCTTTCTTGGCAGTGGGGAGTAAATGCCTGTTCTTCAAGTGTCCTGGTGTAGCTCATCCCAAGATCATCAGAGGTCTCAGCCACTGGGGAGGGACATTTGTTGGAAGTGGCAGTCAGCTGGACACAGGTGCCTCAGGGTCCAGAGATGGAGGGCCAGCATCACAGAATCAATGACTTCAGGACCTGGCCCTGGACTTTTTGGAACAGACAGGAATCCCAGAGGACAGTGAGCGGGTCTCAGGTTCACACAACTGAGTGGCTGCATGAGATCCAGGTCCTCCCTCTGTGTCTGTCAATCAGCTCCTAAACTAACCCCGGGATCCAAGTGCCTTCAACATTGGGGACTTCACACGCAGGGTTTCACGGGGAGAGCTAACTGTTTTGGGCAAGGGGCCTTCACTGCCTGAACTAAACCTCTTGTATTGAGATTTACACAAAGGCTTGGTGACTTAGTCAATGTAACGGTCAGGAAATTAAGGTTCTCACACTTTCCACACACCTGTGCTTTACTGGGTAAATGACATTTTGTTAGAAGACTGTCATTTTTAATAAGCTGGAGCTCATACAAGCAGCTGAAACCTTGGGGTAACAAAGAAATGAGAGTAGAGAGGGCTCAAATGTGAGACCTTCTGTCACACCTTGTAAGTGTCACTATCTTTGACACTGTGGCTCTAGGTGGGAGGAACTGTCACTCCTTTCTTGAAGGAGGAGACTGAGTGAGATTCAGAAATCTCACCTCCTTGGTGTCCAGCGAGATACTGGCAGGCAGATGATCACTTCGTGACCCCAAAATCAATACATTCCCTAAACTTACAGCTACTTTCTGGATAAAACAACTTCTAAAACAAACACATGTCATGGCCAAAGATTTATAACTGGCAGCTAGAAGATGAAGACCACAAATGTTGTTTTTAGTTAGAAAACTATAGTTTTTAAATGAACTTTGTAGGAATTTAATTGGCACAGTAGATTTTCCAAGCAATGCAAAGAAACCAAGTTGGTCCTTTATCTTGCTTGTGTTCCTCCATTGGCATGAGCAGGCACTGCTGCCTTGAGCGACAGAAACTGGCTGGGCATGGAGTCTCGTCCCTGTAATCTCAGCACTTTGGGAGGCTGTAATGGGAGGATCACATGAGGCCAGGATTTGCAACCAGCCTGGGCAACATAGTGAGACCCTCTCTCTACGAAAACTGCTAAAACTTAGCTGGGCATGGTGGTACACACCTATAGTCCTAGCTATTCAGGAGGCTGAGGTGAGAGGATTGTTTAAGCCTAGGAGTTCAGGGCTGCAATGAGCTATGATTGATCAGGCCATTATGCTCCAGCTTGGGCAACAGAGCAAGACCTAGTCTTGAGAGAGAGAGAGACAGAGAGAGAAAGGAACTGGAATGCATGGGAAAGCCATGTTAGGATAAAAATAAATGTATTTCTATCATCAAGAAGTAGATTGCTCCTTCCTGAGCAATTACCACAATTACAACTTCCTGAAAGTAGGCTGCTAGTAGATTAAGTTTGGTGGAAAAGACAAAAAAAAAAAAAAGCAAACCATTCAATTACCTAAAAACTGACAGTGATCTCATTGGGGACATGAGTGATAATTTTTGGATTTGAAATCTGAGATTGCATTTGTTTCACAAACCATAATTCTGTAATAAATAAAGCAATAAATACATTGACATTTTAGAAAGATGTTTTTACACTTATAATCAAATGTGTCATGGACACACACACACACATTCCAGTAACAATATAAGAGATCTGCTACACTCTTGTTTAATATAGTTTTTTTTCTTTCATTAAACTGTTTTAGTATATAATTATTGAAGTCAATCCACAATGAGAAAATGAATGATGTGAACCATTTTCTGAATCCTCCATACAGCAAAGTGTTTGGAAACTAAAGTGTAAGACCAACTGAGATCGTTCATCCCATGGTTTCCCAGCAGGTGAGACACACCTTGGCAAGGAAGAGCAGACCTCAGTGCACGGACATCATGCCACCAAGAACAGGGGACAATATAGTTTAGTAAAGCATAAGGCTATGCCCTTTGAATGGTTTTCCTGGAACATACGAATATTCATAGATTTCCCCATTTTAAATTATTTAAAATAAATAGTTTTAAATTTCGGCCTCTGAAATATCAATAAATATACAATCCTAAACTATACCCTAACATTTTCATGGCTTACAGTTCAAGCTGATCTGGGAAGAACTGTCTCTATAATCAATAATAGACTCTATTAGAGCTACTACAGCATCTTTGTCAGTACGAAGGGGAAGAAATCTAATTGAAGATCCCATTAACAAAAATCTCCTTGGGCCTGGTGTATTATCTGACAAAGCACGTCATAACCCTCTTCCTCTCCTGAAATTTCCCAGGGCTATCTGGGCTGTGTGGGTTTTGCATCTCACAAAAGCAGGCTCTACAGCTGCACAGAAACATCGCTCAGCCTCATGAACCGAGAGCTGAAAGTGCTGCGAAGGCCAGCTGGAAACGTCAGCCGGGAAGCCAAGCCAGACCCCCTCCTGCTGAGTGTCTGCACCAGAACACTGGCCACTGTCCCTCCGCGTCCCCTCCGTGGAGCCGGCACCAGGGAAGGGGGTATGGGTTGGATGCCCGGCAGGTGTCCATACTCAGTCTCTCTTACAGAAAACACAGGGAGAGCAAGGGCAGGCCTTTTGAAATGAGCTTGAGTAACTGGAATTTTATTAGACAGTTTAAAGTGGTAAAAGAAATATGACCTGCTAAGGCAGAAGACAAACAAAACCCGTAAGTTCTCTTATATCCCCTCTGAACTGGCACCGACTCACTCTGAACACAGCTCCGTGTAGTTTCCCAGTCAGGTTCTGCCACGGCATTCGCTCCTTGCCTTGGTGGGGACCAAGCAGCATGGGGACATTACTCCACATCGCAAACCAAATGTAGTCACCATGGTTAAGCAGGCCGGTGTTTTTGTTTTGCTCAGAAATCAGAACTGAAAAACTCCTAGGGCAGTTTACCCCATATGTGAATACTTAACTCAAGAAGCCTCCAAGCTACTCTGAATTTCCAGGGTTTGGTTTAGACATTCTCATGAACTAGAGAAACTCGAATGATTCACATTATCTAGTGTGTGCAGAACACCTAGTGGCTGCCTGTGTTGCGTTTACAGAGTGCTTAGTCTCTGCAGAACATCTAGCATCTGCCGAGATTCTCATGTTTGTGGAAGATCTAGTGTGGGAGGGTCCCTGGTGCCCACAGAGCACCTACTGGGTGACAGCACCCAATGTCTAGACATGTCACGTTTTCAGAGCATTTGGTACCTGCAGAGCATAAAGTGTCTGAAGAGCACCTCGCACAGGCAGGGCACCTACTGTGTGCAGGAGCATCCGTGTGGGCAGAGAATTTCCTATGTGCTGAGTCCGGACACTCACCACGTTGCAGCCCGCACAGTCCGGCCCGTTCTCGCAGGTCCTGCGGCGAGCTTGAATGCCGCCCCCGCACTGGGCCGTGCACCGTTCCCAGGGACCCCAGCCCGTCCAGAACATGTGTGGGGGGCACAGCAAATGCTCGTTGCAGTATCTGAGGAAACCAAGAGGAAAAGGAGACTGATTAGTGCCGCCTGGGGCCGCTGACATTTCCGCTCTCCATCCGTGTGCCAGATGTTGAACACATGGGCATGCTCTGCGGGAAGGGGCGTTTGTACTCAGAGTGGTGGCACGGTACCACGGTACGGGGGGCAGAGGTGGCGCTGGCCATGCTGTGTGAGCACAGACAATGGGATGCACGGCAGACAATGAAGAAGATGCTGAACTCACAATGCAGGATGGATCTTCCTGTGCAGCCAATTAAAGGAGAAACAAAACAAAACCCTTCAAACAGACACCCAAAAGTAAGAGCGTACAGAAAATATCGAAGTAGGGCATTTATCTTCTAAACATAAACATTGAAAGATACAGCAGTTACAAAGTCAGGATAGCCTTATTTGGAATTCATTTCTCATTCCTGAATGACACAAGTCCTACATTTAGATCAGGATAAGTTAAAGCATGACATTAGCATGAAGGTCCGTGCTACGTATGACTTAGGTTACTTTTAAGTTTATATGTCGGTTCTCACAATGATGTCAAACAATCTTAACTTGAAAGACCACGAGTTATTCAAAAATAATTGAATTACTATACAATTTTACGAATATCAGTCTCATTTTGTAGGGATTAAACACATTTCTATTCTTTTACATAGACATGCATTTTGCCAACGTATAGCCAAATACCCACAGACTCCTTTAGCCCTATAATGATTCACCTTTCTCTTGAATCTTTAATACTACAAGTGAAATGAAGTGAAGTGAGGGAGACAAACAAAAAACAAGGAGACAGTCTGTACAGCTATAGCCTATTAGTTGCAGCTCATAGGAAGGAAGAAATTACTCTGAACTTTGCTAAATGTAGTGAGACACACTGGTGATTTAAAACAGCAGTTCCCAACCTTTTTGGCACCAGGAACCGCTTTCATGGAAGACAATTTTTCCATGGAATGGGGGGCAGAGCTCAGGCGGCAATGGGGAGTGGCTGTAAACACAGATGAAGCTTCCTTTGCTCACCTCCTGCTGTGTGGTCCCCAGTTCCTAAGTTTCGTGGAAGACAATTTTTCCACAGACCAGGGGTAGGGGATGTAGGGTGGGCAGGATGGAGCTCAGGCAGTGGCCCAGTTCATAAGAGGCCACCGACTGGTACCAGGCCAGGGACTGCAGATTTAAAGGACTATTTAAATTCCATAGTCTATGTAAATAAGCCCAGATTAGCTTCCAGAGAATACTAGAAAGCAAGACTTTTTCTCATGTCTACTTCCCTTGCTAGGCCATCTGTCTTTAGAAACAGGAGGGAAAGGTTCTGATTTGCTGGCCTAAGTCAGGCACCTTTATTGCTATCATTATTAATAAATGCCTTCCCCTGCAGGGCACTAGGAAAAGAGAAGCACAGAGGGCTTTCTCATCACAGGTGCTCAGAGCCAAAGATAAACACAGCAAAATGGGCACAGCTCAGAATGTGCAGGGCAGGGGCTGGGCGCAGTGGCTCACGCCTATAATCCTAGCACTCTGGGAGGCCAAGGCGGGAGGGTCACTCAAGGTCAGGAGTTCAAAATCAGCCTGAGCAAGAGCAAGACCCCATCTCGACTAAAAATAGAAAGAAATTAATTGGCCAGCTAAAAATATATAGAAAAAATTAGCCAGGCATGGTGTCACATGCCTGTAGTCCCAGCTACTCAGGAGGGTGAGGCAGGAGGATCCCTTGAGCCCAGGAGTTTGAGGTTGCTATGAGCTAGGCTCATGAGGTTGCTATGAGCTAGGCCATGGCACTCGAGCCTGGGGAAAAGAGTGAGACTCTGTCTCAAAAAAAAAAAAAAAAGGAAAGAAAAGAAAAGAAAAAGAATACGGTGCAGGGCAGGAAACACTGTCTTAGTACAAAGTGGTATCACTGTGCTTTGCACATGGAAAATGAAGTGCACCTTGGGAGTAGAAAATAAGGGCAAATGATAGCCAGCAACCAGGGGAAGGAAATTGCAGAGTGTGGTTTCTCAACAGCAAATGCGGGTAAGGTGGAACTGTCTTCCCACCAAGCTGGAAAAGCTCCGCGGAGAACGTGAGGGAACAGGTGCCGTGCGGAAAGCAGAACGCAGGGCGGCCTGAAGGGCACCCATAGGGTGGGGCGTGTAGCACACCTGCTGCTGCTCTGGAAGAGCATGGAAGGAAGGAATGGGAACAGCGAAGGAAGAAAGGTCTCTTTTTCTTTTGCGAAGGAAAAAGCTAAAGGCTAAAAACGGGCAACAGGAAGCTGGAATTGACCGTATCTTTTAACCAAATGGTGATCTCCTC